CAAATGCGACTGTAGCTTTTTTTTCCCCAAAAAGTTGTCTTCAAAATAAGGGTGCGTCTTATATTCCGAAAAATACGGTATTTGTTTAGCGTGCACAGAACACTCGCAAATTACAGGTCCAGGTTTTTGATGCATCTTTTGGAGTGATTGTGAGCATTTGATATGATTTAGGTTTACTGTGTTTGATTGAGGCTGGCACTCTCTTTAGTATATGTGGTTTATGGTAATCCAATGAATTTCGAGAGAATTTATAATTCTTGTAAACGGACTCTTGACAAAACAAAGCTCGCTGTCTCTGTCAGACAAGAGTGCGCTGTTACCGCTATGATAAACGTATTTTACAAAAAATCTACCAGCTATAAAATAGAACCCAAAACCATATAACGGTAAAGCTTGTTCTAATAAATGGGGTGGGGGTATCAAAGATGTAATACATCGAAGGAAAACTGTAAATACATTAGACTTACCTATCAAGGCCTCGAGACAAGAGCGTACTGTAAAGCAACATTAAAACTCCATGGCCAGACTCTTGCTGGAACTAGAAAAAAAGAACACTGAGCTATAATTATTAGTTATGCGTCCAATTTTTCTAGAGGGCTTTCACCCAATTTCTGTTGCAACCTAGTGTTAGAAAAGATTTGACAGATGTAAACGATGGAAACATTTTTTTTTTCAGAAAAGCCATGTTATGGAGACCATGTGATGGTCAGGTCATTCTTTCTTTTGTTTTAGAGCAAAGCCACATTGGACTAACTGTGTGCTAACTGCAGAGGAATCGAACTCCGGATTTTAGCGTTTTAAGTTCGTATATTTACCGCTGTCCCATATACACACCATGTGTAACAAAAACACAAAACTTAAATACAAGATGCGCTTAATGTTTCGTTCAGTTTTCCTTTTAAACAAGGTGCAAAGAAAATCTATTTTGTATTTATATGCTTATTATGAATTGCTAATTAATTTATCAAAAAAAATTACTGAAGATGTCAACATCATTTCTTAATAGAAACATTCAATCTTTAATTTTTTTAAATAAATATTTACATATTTAAAAACTTTTTGTTACCAGCTTTCCAAATATATACATACATATATTTATGTTTTCATACCGATGTTTGAGCTCATAAAATAACTGTTTTAATTATTATGCATTATAATGTTCAATATTGATTATAGTTTCATAAAAAAGTAATTTTATAACACAACTAATATTTTCGAGCCCTGACATGGCCTAGTGGTTAGGACACACGGCTCGAAATCTGTGGGTCGCGAGTTTCAATCCCGTCACCGAACATTCTCGTCCTTTCTTCCATGGAGGCGATAAACGAGACAGTCAATCACATTATTCGTTGGCAAAGAGTAGATCAAGACTAACTGCCTTCCCCCAGTGGCACAGTGGACTTACGACGCTAGAATCCGGGTTTCGATACCCGTGGTGGGCAGAGCACAGATAGCCCATTGTGTAGCTTTGTGCTTAATTACAAACAAACAGACTAGCTGCTTTCCCTCTAGTCTTTCACTGCTCATTTAGGGACGGCTAGCACAGATATCCTTCGTGTAGCTTTGCGCGAGATTCAAACCGCTGCCTTCTAGATTATACATACCTAAACTTTAAATACTGGAAAGCTTGAAAAATATAACTATATTTAGCTGATAATATCTGTAATAAAAACAAAGAATAGATAAAATACAACTACTTGTGAAAAAAGTTTAAAATATTGTTTTTTATTTTGTAATTAAGCACAAAGCTTAATAACAGCTTTCGTATCGAAACCTGGATTCTAGGTTTTTCTATAATCTACGTAATAGGTCTTGATGATTAAACACTCAACTTTTTTTCTAAGAAGGGTGCAGCAGAGTCATTAAGACGTTTTGTTGGTCACATAACTAAACCCATTACCAACATATTTTTGTTCGCTTATTTGGTAAGAAGATCACTTTAAAAAGCTTTTACACGTTTTAAAAACAAAAAAAGAGGTCAGAATTTCTACTTTGCTTTATTTTTGAGTGAATGGTAATGAGTCTTCTATTAACGACCCAGAAAAACAAAGTTAGTGAAATTGTTGAAATTATCTAAATACCTTCTTTAATTATAAATTTCTTCTTAGAGATCAGAATAATGCTCTGAAATTTCTCCTATTCATGTTCACTGCGGAATAAACTGAGATAGTTCAGTATCATTAGTTTACAATAAAAAGACTTCGAAAAGCTTATAAGAATTTTTCAAATCTGCATAAGCTAGTTCTTTAAACTTTTTCTGATCATAAATAGTTTTTTTTTACAACGAAAGGCTTGGGCTTTAATTGAAAATAAGAAATACCACAGTTCATTAAAATTTAATATATCTACTTTAAATTCGAAGTTTTTTTATTGCTCAAATTCAAATTGCCTTTTTTGTTTTGCTATTTCTGTGAAGCGCTATGCCATTCTTTACACTTAATCATCTATAATGAAATGCCTCAGTGGGGGCTACGAGTCTTAAATACGTAGATTCCTTATATATTCACAGAAACGTGAACACACATTTTGGTATCTTATCAGTTATACATCAAGTTTTCAGAAATAAGGTATCAACTATGAAAATGAATGAAATAACATTGAACGTGCATATATTTATACTAGATCATGTGAAGACTGCCAATACTTTTCTTTAAACTTTAAACATTCAGTACAATCTAATTTATGGTTTATTTCCATCTTGAAAGATTACATTTAGGCTGCCTTATTAAATTCTGAGATTTTCAGTTATTCTGATTAATTTCTCAACATTGATCACAGTATATAGTTATATTTTATATAACTCACAAACTTCTCTTCGAATCCCCATCACACCAAACATGCTCGCCCTTTCAGCCGTGGGGGCGTTATAATGTA